AGGTTCGGGGCCACGGCTGCTCTCAAACCGTCCCTCACGCGCGTGGACACTTCAGACGCGAAGGCGGCCTCGAAGCTCCCCCTTCCTGACCCTTTGCTGGGGGCGCCCGCCAGGGCCCGTCCGAAGTTTTCTGAGGCCTGACTTCCCCCATCGCTTACCAAGGCTCCCGTCGCTCACGGTCACCTGGGCTACTTCACGTCCCTACGACGGCTGCCCGCCGCCCGCTGCCCATTGCTCACAGGGCAGGCGGCTGGGGGCCATTGCTGCGTCTTCTGAGTGGGTGTGAGTCTGTGGACTCGGCCCTGGGCCACGGCGTCACGGTCACTCTGTGTGTGGTCGAGATCCTGCTGAGCTCGGTCGCTGGGGTTCGAGGTCGCAGATGTGGCCCTGACGCCACCGCGGGATCTGGGAAGAGGCGGCGGGAGACCCGCTGTGACCACAGGGCCCACGCATCTGTGAAGCGTCTGTGAAGCGTGCCGGGCGGGTGCGGGCCTGGTCCAGACCCTGGAAACCCCTCCTCTCACACTGTGCCAGGCGGCACCGCCCCCTCCCCGCCCGCACGCCCCACGCCTGCTGTTTACGTGGTTCTGTGGACCCTCCCGCCCTTGGCACCTTCTCTTTTTAATCTTCACCCGAGGATATTTTTCCAGTGATCTTACAGAGGAGAGCGGGAGGGAAGGAGAAGTGGGGGTGGAGGGAGGAGAGAGAGAGAGACATCGATTGGTTGCCTGTTACCAGGGCCGGGGATCGAACCTGCAACCCAGGTACGTGCCCTTGACCTTGAATCGAACCCACACTCCTTTGGTCCACAGGCCAGCACTCTAACCACTGAGCCAACCTGGCCAGGCCCTCTGGCACCTTGTCCGTGTCCCGGCGAGTGTGACAGTCACCACAGGAACCCTGCCTGCGAGGGGCCCCTCGAGCCGCACGTCCGTGTGTGGGGGGGGGGTTGTTCCTCCCTCCAGGCGAGATCCCAGGGGGGCCCTGCAGAGCCCCCGCGTTTGGTGAAAAGTGCCCGGTGCCAGCCTGGCCCTGGCTCCTCCCTGCGACTCAGAAGCAGACCCTACCCCGGGAGCCCCGGAAGTGAGGACACTGAATCCCTCGATTTCCTTTTCTTCCTTTGTCCTGGGGGGCCTTTGAGACGAAGCTCCGTGCTTCCCTCCCCACGCACCACGCACTCTCGTAGCTGATAGGTCAGGAGGCCAGCGAGGCCTTTTCCCGCTGAGGAACAGAGCAGCCGCTGCGTTATTTATACTCTCGGGGTCCCGCGTCCCCGCCAAAGGTGACCTTGGGAAGAGGGCGTGCGGGAGGGCGGTGGGTGCCGCCCCGGCAGCAGCGGGGACGTGTTGTGATTCTGACGAAATAAAAGCTTCCTGTTCCTAACGTGCGTTCGACGGCTTTGGTTCGTGGGAGGGGAGCACGGGCCCAGGTGAGGCAGCGGGAGGGGCGGGGAGAGGACCCTCAATGGTCCAGAAACGGCCCCCCGCCCGGCCTTGCTGCCGCTCGCCTGGAGCTGAGTGGGTTTTCTCCACCATTAGGCAGGCGGCTCTGGGGAGAGGCTATATTTAGTTAAAGAATCAAGTTCTCCCCTCACCTGCCTCGATGGCTCGATGGCCCGGGAGCGGGCGAGAGGCGGGCGGGAGTGCTTTGGGGAGACGATGCTGAGGCGGAAGAAAAGCCGGATTTGCTTGAGGGCCCGGGAGACTCATGAACAATTATTGTTTTCTCTGAACCGGGAAGCTCGCTTGCCCGGGCTCGTGCGGCGGGCCTGGCTCTGACACGGTCTTGAGTCTGGAAGGTGGGTTCAGGGCGTTCGGGGCAAAAATAGAATATCGGGGACCGGCCATGGTTATGGGAAATATGGATCCTGCTCTGTTAATCGCGAGTGCCTTGTGTTGGTTAAAGAAAGGACATTCTAGCCCTGGCTGGTGTGGCTCAGTGGATAGAGCCTCGGCCTGAGGACTGAAGGGTCCCGGGTCCAATTCCCGGTCAGGCCACAGGCCCGGGTTGCAGGCTCGATCCCCAGTGGGGGGCGTACAGGAGACAGCCGATCCGTGATTCTCTCTCATCACTGATGTTTCTCTCTCTCCCTCTCCCTTCCTCTCTGAAATCAATAAAAATATATTTGAAAAAAATCTTAATTTTTTTTAAAAAAGGAGGGAAGCGCAGATGCCGAGTTCCACGAGGGGGTGAGGTGGGGGCAGGGGCACCGGCGGGCACCGCGCAGGCAGGACGGAGTGTGCAAGGGAGTGAGTCATTCCGGTGGGTCCTTCACGAACTCTGCACTGTGAAGCCTGTCCCCCGGGGGCCGCCCAGAGAGGCGCGGGGTGGCCGTGACCGGGACGAGGGACATCTGGCCCTGGGTGGCTCTCACAGAGGCTCCACGGCGTTCCCGGGGTCCCCGTGCGCCCTCTCTCTGCGGACGACGCGTGCTGGGCCTGCTGGCCGGGCTGGGCAGTGTCTGCATCTGCGTCGGCCCCCGGGCGGGCGCGCGGCAGCTCCGAGCTGGGCGGTGATGCAGGGCTCGCACCCAGAGAGAAAGCCTTCCCCGCCCTGAGCGTGGGGGCGGTTCCCGAGTTTCAGGAAATGACATAAACTTCACTGCATCTGTTCTAGGAGGTTCTCCTGCACCCACCGCATTGTCTCAGCACCACGGACACCCGCCCGTGCAATCCACCGCCGAGGTCTCGGTTTCCATGGAAACCATGTTCTGACCCCAGGAGAGCTGGGGACCAGAACCTGTCAGGTGCGTGCGGGCTGTCAGGGGTGGTCCCTCCCCTTCCCTCCGAGGGGGGCTCTGAGCCCCGGGCCTCCGGAAGCCGGTGATAAATCATCCCCACCTTGAACTTCAGACTTTAATTAAACTGATGGCATCTCTAGCCCCGGGCTCCCCCCCTCCCCCGCTCACCTGGATCTCGGGGAAGGAGGGAGACTGGAGACGTTTTGGAAAACACGGTGTTCTCGGGCTCGATCCCGAGAGCAGGCGGACAGAACACTCGCGTGCAGAGACTTTAGGAAGCTCGGCTGTTGGCTCCATCGAGTGCCCGGAGCTGGTCGTGCGTCCGACGGGGTGACAGGTGTTCCAGGGAGGGCGACGGAGGGCTCCCTGCCCATCACGCCCCCCGGCCCCTGCCACCCCCTGTGCTCCCCCCTCCACCTGCCCGTCCCCAGCAGGGAACAAGCCCCAGGCGGTTCCAGGGTGAGAACGGTCCCTCCTCTGTCGCACACACACCTGTCACCGCGGTTACATTTGTTTTCCGCGCACAGAGAACCTTCCCGGGGAATGCGTGCAATGGGCCATGAAGTACCTTTTTCTTTCTGTTTTTAAATATTTTTATTGATTTCAGAGAGAAAGAGGGAGGGAGACAGAAACATTAATGATGAGAGAGAGTCATGGATCGGCGGCCTCCTGCACGCCCCCCACTGGGGATGGAGCCCGCAACCCAGGCAGGTGCCCTGACGGGAATCGAACCGTGACCTCCTGGTCTGTAGGTGGACACTCAACCACTGAGCCACGCCGGCCGGGCAAGGGGGTGGGGGTCCCCTTTAAGGAAGAGGCATCTATGCTCCGAACTGCCCTCCCCGTGTTGCCAGGGAGACGGGACGCAGGGACACTGTGCCCTGCGGGTGGGAGGGAGGGTGGAGCAGGCACCCGGGAGAGGAGCAGGGGTCCCGCCCAAGTGCACCCCTGCGGGTGTGCCCTGAGTGTGTCTGTGGGGGCCGGGAGCCGGAGGCGCCTGGGTGGGGGCCCTGGGAGATGGGACGGAGGACACGCGGGGGACAGGCACCTCGGAGGTGATGTCGCCGTGCAAACAGCGAGGTGCTGTCTATTCCGCGGGGTGCGCGTGCGTTCAAAACATAATCATTCGTAAAATTTAATCACATCCCAAACAGAACGAAATGCATCGCGCGGGGCCTTCGAAGCAGCAGAGTTAAAATATAGGCCCACAAACAGCAACGGACGTTTTGCAAGAACACGTTCCGATAAGGAATCAGTCACGGCCGAAAGGCTCCCGAAGAATAAAATCTTAGGGAGGAATCTCAGCCGACACTTTTAAGTAAATAAGATAAAAAGCCAATCGAGAAAAGACGCGGTTAAACACGGTTTTATGAGTTCCCGGAGCGGGAGGGAAGGCGAGGAGGAATCCGATGCAAGGGGAGTGAAGAAGCAGTAAAACCAGGTGGAACCAGGCGCGGACGGATGACAGGCGTCAGGACTGTGCCAGGATCGACTCTCCGCGTTGCTTTTAGGTCCAGAGAAGCTGATGGCAAAGGAGAGGGGCTGAGACCCACCTCCTGGACCCAATGGACGGTGTGGCCCCGCCCCTCCGGCCCTGATCCCGCCCCTATAACTGGCCCCGCCCTCTATCATGCCTCGCCCC